AGGCGTGTTGCGTGAGATCTTTAATCCTGTGGGAATCTTAGGAAATGGCATCTTAGGTTGCACATGAAAGAACATGCTAGAAAAGTCGCCAGAAGAGGGTTTTGTCTGCTTCTGCCGGTGACCCCATGAACTGGAGTTGTGAGCGCTAGCACTGTATAAACATGCACATATGTACCATGAGCATAATTATGAGTTTTTGTGATCCACTGCAGGATGAAGGTCTTTCCAAGGCTTCGCCACAAACTTTTTTCCTGCCATTTTCATCCATATTCAGAACTCCTTCAGCTCATTCCTCCACCTATTCGAAGATATTCCTAAAGATTTTTGCTCATTTTTGGGATCCAGTCCAATGTCTCTCTGGTTCAGCGATAGTCGGTTCAACCATAGCTTCTTTATTCGAGTAACAACATCGCAGATTTATGTTTGTGTTCTTTCTTATTCATTCGCCCACCTATCTCTTATTGTTACTCCCAACATAGATTTTTTCATGTTACGTTCAAAAACAACATTCAAGATGAGGGCTACGTTTCGCATCACAGGTTATCACTAGGAGCACGCACCGATTGAAATCTCTCCATTTCAAGCAGGAAAGCACTTTTCTGGATCGGAACATTTTCAGACTTCCAAAAGTCCTCCATGCCATGCCGTTTGTCTTCTTCTTTTAATTTTGCTTAATCAGTTTCAATTGCAGAGATGAGTTGTACTAGATAGACGCAATTTTGCATTTCCACAGGTCTAAGTCCGCTGACTTCTGTAGGTTGCGAGGTCACATATCTGTTAAACAAGACAGTCTTCTTCAAGTTCATTTTCTGTCCTACTTTCATACTTGGGTCATTCAGTCCCTGAATTCTTCTTTGGAGTTCTTTTGAAGACGCTGAGAAGATCAGAATGCCTTCTGTAAACCATAGGAGGCTTAAATAGTACCTATTTATTTTCAGGCACTAATTTGCTGAAGAAAATGGCTTTAAAACTTCTTCTACAGCTGTGCATAAGTACAGGAGTGTGTACTGTACAGAGAATTTTTCCCGAGCAAACGATGAAACTGATGAGGAAAGGACAAAGGATGTCAGGATTGATTTTAAAAAATGTACAGTTGTAGCAATGATTTTAACGTGGAAAGTACTTAAATATATAAGATGTTCACTTACAAACTCTCCACATTCATCAGGCACCAATACATTCATTTCGGTTGACCGCGACGAAATGATTTCGGCATTCAACGAGCAGCGACTCAGGTAAACTTGACAGCTGTCTGTGTTTTGAATGGCCACCGTCGGCATGGTTCCAAGCGTCTTAAATCAGCGTAATAGTAACGTCCTTGCAAACAACAAATATGGCGATTTTGATTACCTGAACCTGCACCTTCTGGCAATTGATAACTTCAATGGAAGACACTAAGTTGTCGAAGACGACGTTCGTACGTTTGCAGCTGTCTATATAATCAAGCAAGTTGCACTTAGACAGTTTACAAGCGGAGCAGCCAAGGTCACCCAGCTTCACAGACCGTCACAGAGATTCACGAATTTGGCCATTTGTTTTTTGCCGTTAAACTACATCCTGTTGGAGGTCTTTGGCTTGCTGAAAACGCTGAAGGTATATGTGTTAGATGAGTCATAGTTAATTAAAATGTCAATAAAGGGAGGCCGTTCTATTTTGAAACAGAAAATAGCAGATAACTTCCTCTTATCTACTGTTTAATTAACAATGGTTAATTTCATTTAGCACACTCGCCTTCAGCGTTTTCAGAATATCGCAAAAACCTAACAGGCAAGTCAATTGTTCCCCTGACATTACTGCATTTTTTCCATAGTATTCCTAAGAACATGAGAATCAGGGCTTAGCGATATAGCATAGACCCTCCATCGTAAATAAGGAGTTTTTAAGAAATTTTTAAAAAGAAGGTTCCACAAGATGAATCCAATCATTTTGAAAATTGATCAATCGTCTTTCATGTGAGAGATTAACTCCATCATCTTGCACCTTGACGACGAGCAGAGTATGAGTCGAAACGTTGATAATTTATGCAATTAAATAAATATGCTAAACAATCTCGTAAAAAATATGAACGCCATGGAATTAATTTCAATCTTTATCATCCCAAATACGGCCTTCAAAAAAGCCGGGAAGAGCAAAGATATGTCATGTCCATTCTATTCAATCTCGGTATCTCTTGCTCTTAAATATTATCTCAAGAACAAGGCTTCGAGCTATATATAAAACATACATCTCGCTTGGATCCATTCCATACATGAAATTAAACTCCTTAGTTTACTATGACAAATCTACGTTGTTTATCAGATTAACAATTTGTATCGGTAAAACGTACAGAACCACAGCACAAAGAAAAATCATCAAAAGCATTTCATAACTGTAGCGTATTCCTTGGAATGTAAACGTTGCTATAACACTAAAGACATTAATATCCTGGATTGCAACAAAGACAGACATGCCTACTTATCGAGGAGTTCTTGCATATTTCTCTCTGATTAATAAAAGGATGTGCAAACAGTTAAATCAACTCCTGCGACATCTGCTTTGCTAGGTAATTCATATTGTGACCTCCCCAGTCAGTTTCACAATTCATCTTTACTTTTCTAGTTTTCATACTTGCTTTCTGTGACCTATCACGCCACACTTATAAAATTCTTTCATTTTCATTGAACATGCGTATCAGCCTTTGTAACACTGCCTATTTTGTAATTTTCCTGTGTTTGTCCATTGTATCATTGTTTGTGAAATATCCGTGATGATCGCTTCTGTGCCAAAAGTCGAAACGTCGAATTAAATGAGAAAGGAGAATAATGCGTCACCTCCAAAGCAATTCTTAATAAAAGCGGGGCAGTTCACATCCCAGTGCTTGTAGAATTCAAATTCCATCGTCAATCTTTAATAACCTAGCATCGTTATAATCAATTCGATAGTCAAAATTAACTTTATGCTAGTTTACGTGGCTGTGAGCGGTGTCCGCCTATTACATAATGGCCAGCGCGAACTTATTCTGTTCGTTTATCAAGCATTAATACTTACAAGGTCGGAAAATTATTTGACGGGTGTGGTAACTACAAGAGTATGTATTACAGCTATTTTAATCCTTTGAACAGCATTGAGAAAGAACGGCGAGACATATGTAAAAATGGTTATGAGGCATCTTTAGTTTGATTGCCTCAAAGATTCCATTTTCGGACTGTCGTGATTAGTATAACCGGTCGTCGAATGAAGCTGTACAGCGACAGATCAGTCATGATCGATGATTATGAACTGACTTCACATACATCGACGGCTTACCTACGGTGATCGAATTTGCTTTTCCTTTTAGCTGAATCAGGCAGTCGACGCAGTTGTAGATGTACACCACTTGCTTCATATCAGAGATCTCGACAACGATACTCTGATTTTTGACTTGATTTTCCTAAATCGATAATATTTAGTATTTTGATCAACGTTACAAGGAAGGAACAGATTTGGCAGCAGTTGAGTAGGGTAAAAATAGAAGCGAATCCGTAGATGAAGTAATTCGACTTCATAATGTTTGAGGTCTGTTAAGAAGTTACTGGTCTGCCTTGCTTCTGTATAGGTAGATCAGTTGTTCTGCTCCGACGAGGAAATCTGAAGCAAGCTGCACCTCTGTCAGCCCAGTTTGTTATAATTTTTTTTCCTTATAGTCGACTCTATAAATTGGTACGCTCATTTTAACCATGTCTCGATTGAGAAATCGCAGGTGACCAGATGAAATGCCAAATCAAATAGTAAAGACTCATACAATATTTTGAACGACGGAGCGTCAACGTTGTGAAATTTGAGGAGCTAGGCGAATAAAATAACAGCAGTGACTTTATCAAGCAACAGCCCTGTTTGAAGAAGCAAGTATTCCCTTTAAAACAAACAGATCACAAAGCTGCACCCACTTTGTGACAAAATGGAACTTGAATGTTCTGAGGAGCTATCGATTCCCCCTAGGTCCTACATGGTCCCCCCTGTGCGTCTAGAAGCAAGGGCGCAGCGCAATCAGCTCCTGTGTGAGAAATTTAATTTTTCTTTCTTTACACTGTGCATTCGTCATTTCAATCCGGTATCATTATCATGTATAATGCATCAACTTTGCTGGTTGGCTATCCAACCTGCTGCAAACGCTCAACGAATAGTTTCATGGTGATGCGAACTTAGATGAAATGGGCCATCGTTAGTGATCCTTGATTGAAGGATATCGCCACGAGTTCACTTGTAGATTTGATAGGTGCTGACATTTATCTAAGTCGTTGTTGCTCTGAACCAAGCAAGATCCGTACGCAGCAGGATAAAGGACTTCGAAAAATGTTTGAATTTCGGTACAGTTGCTCTAGGGTCTGTGTTTTTTAAGGTCAGCGAGCAAGAGATCATAAAAAATACTACAAAAACTAACGAAGATTTGCTTTTCCAATTGTTGTTATTGCTGTATCACCGCCTCGACGGCTGTCGACGTATAAATAGCAGAGCAACTCAGATTTATGATGTGTAGCCTTTTCAAATGGTGCCCCAGATTGATGTGAGACAATACACTGCCGCGAGAAAGGTCATATTCTTCATCGCCAGCAGGTCTGCTTCATTTAGGTGTTTCATGTTCTATATTGTCCTTCAACGCGTCTACGGCTATATGGCAGTTCCTACGTGGGAAAAGTTTCAATATGAACTCCATTTTCTATTAGGGCCGGTTTATCAAACCAAGCCAGTCATCAACTTCTGATTTCATCTGATAGTTTTCTCAGACCACTGGTCGTTAACATCTGCTCGCTTTTGAGCCGGTGGTACTATTGCATTTTTAGGATTCTTCATAGAGGTTAATGGAAGCTGTATAGACGAGCTTCATGTTGTCTAAGGACAGCAGGCCTTTCGAAACTTTACATGAGCACCGCGAAAATGACTGCTTTCAGGATGGTGACCTTTGTATCTTTTCTTAGAGTCCTCCTTTCTTTCCTATAGTTCGATCCTTTCATGTGCCATACAATTTGCCAATATTTGCCGATTCCAGTCTAATTCACCGATTCATGTCAGGATCATTGTCGTCACTGCTAGCCAACAGAGTTCAAAGGTATTGAAATGATCCATTTCTTACGTCACAGCGCCAGTTCATGACATACTTGGAGTGCCGGTGGCGGCGGGCGCTCTCGTAATTTTCATCTTTTTGGCGTTCACTCCTAGCCTCAATCCCATGGCGGTGTTGTACACGCTTTCACTGAGTGTAAGTAGGCAACTCGCGGAGTAGTTCAGCAGCATGACTGCATGAGCATGCTCAAGGGTCCTTAGGAATACCGCCGGATATCTTATGCTGCGTCGCTGTCTAATTGTCAGTCTCTCGCCGTTATTTATGCTCTTCTAATACCAACGAATTAACAGCACAAAATAATTAATCATTTGTCATGGAAAATATGGCCATATTATATCAGCCAGTTTACAGTGCAACCGGTTTACATGTGCTCTTTGACTTGGAGGAAGCATATGCTAGGACTCCGCGCAACAAGCTGCAGGTGTGCCTGCGAACATAGGGGATCCATGGCCAGTTGCTAGGAGCCATTCAACAACTACGTGTTGTCGGCAGGTGCTGCGTCAAAATAAATTGCATTATGTCGAGACATTTCAACGTTAGCACTGATCTTCGTCAAGGGTGCGTCCTGTTCCCTCTCCTGTTTGTGTTGTACATGGATAGAATAGTCAGGAGCTGCCAAGGCAATGAGAGTATTGGTGTAGGAGATGTGGAGACGAGAAGGTTGTTGTGTGCGACGACCTTGTTAGTTTCTTCCAAAACTGATCTCCAGCACTCTCTGGAAAGGTTCACAGGCTATATGGCCTGACCGACATACACGTGAACGTGTCTAAAGCTAAAAGTCTAGCGCTTTCTCGTTTTGTTACCTGCTGCTTCCTTCAGATAATCGGAGAAGCGTTGGACAGGTGGAGAAATGCACGTATCTCAGAGTCGTATTTACTGGTGATGGAAAATGGGAGGAAGAAATCGAGCGGTGAATTGTAATGATCAGCAGCGTTTTGCGTGAATTAGCGGTCGTGGTCAAAGCTGAGCTGAGTCTAACGACCGCGCTCTCTCCGTTTTAGTCGATCATCACCCCATGCTCAGGTACTGTCATGAGCCGTGCGCCATGACTGAAAACTTCGACCCCTGATACAAACTGCTAAAATGAATTTTCCGAGTCAAATCGCTGGGCTTACGCATCTCGACAGAGTCCAGAGTTCAGATATCTCCGATGGCTTTAATATACAACCGCCGCCTCTCCAGGTCGAGAAGTCACAGATGCGATGATTTTGACACGCCTTGCAAATGTTTCAAGCAAAGCAAGGCGAAACAGCTGCTACATGTCTAACCAGTTGGCCAGAGACCCTGCGGACGGTCAGGAGTGACCTGAAGCAAGTGTGTAAACCCACCCCGATCGGGAATCAGGTAATTTTCTGCCAAAGCTCAAGGACTGGCACAGGATCAGGAAAATTAAAAGCACTGTTTGACGTGTTGCCTTGCCGAAAGGATAAACGGTCATCGAAACTGAGTGAATAACTGGATGTCAGTCTCAGGTCATTTCATTCGTGGAAATTAAAGATCGTGGCAACCAAAATTATTCGTTAAACCACCCTGTTCGATGCCACGCTTAAGAATTCGCAGTTAAAGTGTTTGTAAATATTCTTTGTGATGCACGCGATTATCGTTCAACTTACGATAATCCATTTCTTTCCACCCTCACAATGAATTTTCGCAGTTCCCATTTTCTCTGAAGCTGTCGAGCTCGTGGAATACTTCGACTCTGAGTAGTGTGACTCACTTCGCGACGGTTCCTGAAGTCTCAATGCCGGATTTTTGTGCGTTTGCATATCAGCAGTTACCTTTCTCAGTCCTAAATCTGATCAGCTTATTTCTTTGACGATCAGTTTTAAGAAGGTCCCCACCTTTCGTTATTTCAACACCTTTGTTTATTTCTTCAAAGAGCGCATTTCGCATGTCCATCAACGACTGTTGCGATTTTTCAGCGGTGGACGCGGTGATCGTCATGGACATAGGTGGCGGTGGTGGTGGAACTCCGGACATCGTCATTGAACTCTGATTGACGGAGATTGACGTAGAACTCCTTTCGCTGCTTTGACCCTATGAAAAGTACGAAATTAGCTAATATGCCTAAAACATGAAAATATATCGAATTTCTTGTTCGAAGTCGCTAATGACCTAGTTTGGGCTTCAGAACAACTGCAAAAGTCAAATGACTTTCCTAATTTAGATATGCACCTTCTTGGAAGCAAGCAGAAGTCAAAATTTGCGAAAAACAATTGTTTTATTACTAATTTCGAAGTCACAGCTACACATAAACACCTATGTTAGTTATGCTTCTGGTACTTTGAACAAAGGCATGTCTTTTGACCCAGGAAAACGCTTAATTATTCGTCAGTCACTTCACAATACTAGATTACAAATGACGTATGGTGAGGTGATTTGATGGACATTTTTACCAGCGGAATTAAAAAGCTACTCTTTGATAGTTACCAGAGAACAACTGAGCTATAATGTGTTTATATTAATTCTTTTTCCAGTCATATTCCAGCTATGTGAGACTTGTTTTCTTAATCTTTTGACACCATCCGCCTTATTACCGTGGAATAGCATACTATTTCGAGCTATTTCTTAGGTGGCCTGTTTCGCTGTCCCCTCTACGGAGCTTTCATTTTCATCACTTTGTCTGATCAAAGCATGAGTTTCTTCATAGTGTGTCCAGAGCAATCTAAACTTTGCCAAAATGGGTAGAATATAACTTTAATAAAGCAAAAATGTATTTAACGGGTTTGGAACCTGAACTGCATTCCACATCAAGCCAGTCGTATGATTTTTCACAACGTAGTCGTGCAGCTTCGTTAGTACTTCTATCCATCCGTTAATCCACTGTACATGAATCGTATCCCTAAATTTATCATCTGCAAAAAGCAAGCTCAACAAAATACCTATTTATTTCACTTGTCTTTGAAATCCCTCAGCACACGATTCGCGTAGAACAGCGATGCTTCTTCCATCTCCTTGATGAACGCGGCAGGAGCCGGCACCTTGAAAACGAGTGCTGTCATGTCCAACACCGGCACGTGAAATATTGCATCAGCTTACGACGGTTATCCATCCTAACGCGCTGATGCTTTCACTGATAGTCGAAAAGTGGTTGAAGTATGGGCTGATTCGCTTCGTACTTCTCAGTGACTGTGAAACAAAAGAACGCAGTTTCGTTGCTTTAATGACACAGACACAAGAAAGCAAAACGTAAACAAACAAACCAGAATCTCGTCGATTTTCTCAGACGTCGGCAGAAGAAGTTGCCTCAATTTTAAGTCTGTTGGTTTAGGCAACTGAATGGCCGTCCAGATGAAATTCCTTTGCGCCTGAAACGCAGCGACTACCAGCTCTGCCTGAAAAATGCAATCATTTACTGTCAAGCTGTGTGAAACTGGTTTACATCTGAGTCGCTAAGTAAAATTCTGTATTATGACAGGTGTCGAGCAGTGTTTATTGAACTAGCAGAAACCACGATTAACCAGGGAAAAGACCATAAATCCGATGGCGTGACGAAATCATTGAGTTTGCTGAAAGCGAAGGACAAAATGCGATGGAAAAGCCTTCGAAAGGTCTTAATCTGAAAGACTCGAAAAGAAACAGATTGGGGAAGTCTGATGATATTGACGAGGCTAACGTTGCGCGTGATTTTGCCATTCGTAGTATTATGAAAGAGGTTGGTGATTAGGTTAAAACTGGCAAAGATCCTCGCCACTGCAGAAGTAGAAGTGTTGGACTAGACTCGGCCAAAGGCGATCAACGTTCGCCCGCTACCGATTCTCTGATAATGTAAAATTGCTTAACGATGTCCATTATAACTTCTAATGAAGCCAACTGTTGGAACGTTTTGAGCTGCATGACCATAGTCCCAAGAAGAACGAAGTTTAATATACTGCATTATTAACGGTAGTCTGACTTCGTTGTTAGCACAACTTAACGGCTACTGCTTGCAATCCGCAGTGCAATTCTGTATCGATCTTTAAATCTACTTGCATATATGAATCAGACGGTATGGTTTCATTATAAAAAGTCTGAGCATGATGAGAGCGAATAAAAACAATGAGGCAGAAATGCTCTTCATACTGATGGATTAAGAAGATTAATTCCTTCCGCAATATGAGAACAAGTAAGAACGCTTTATAATGCTAGAATCTCTAATCGAGACAAGAGAATTTGACAGCATTTTGCAACTGTTTACTAGTTCGATGAAAAACAAACGTGGCATCATCTGCCTGATGAGCATAAACTGATCACACAAGAGTCGCCCATTCCGTTAAAAGATCTAACTAAAGCTCATCATCTTCCGCCATAGACAGTAATTCGACAAAAATATTTTTAACCTTGTGAAGAGACCTTCGACAAATTTGTTCAAAAACTCTGGTCCCTCTTATGGCCTCTTCATCGATTGGTCGAGCAATAAATAACTGTTTAAATTTAGTTTCTGGAGGCATGCTGAGGCATTTTCAAGCTGTCTTAGGTGGGACTCTTTAATTGTGAAAATAACAGTTTAGGTTTAAGGATTTTCATGATAGCGAACTTAGAAATCTTTGAGGCGAGCAAGTCTAAGCAAACAATTCCTCTGAAGAATCCCATTTCTGCCACTTGCGTTCGCGACATAATTTCTTTGTCGTTACTCATGGTCCGAGGGAAGATGGGAATGAAACTCTACTTTAGGGTAGAAAGCTTCGTCGAAAAACTCTGCATTGCCTCTGTTACCTCAACTCGGAAGTTCAGATCTGATCTGTCATTCTAACTTATTATTGATTTTCATCCTAATTTCAAGCTCTCTAAACGTAGTCAGAGATATCTCGAAAAGTTCATCAGGGCATAATCGTTCGGAAATCGTTTTATGCAAATGATGATAAAGCTGCTGCTTTTAGACAACTGTCCCCAAGTAACGTTCTGCAGCTGTTATACCTTGTTCAGTCAATGCAACAACGTTTTGACTGTATGTGATGAGCTAACTGAAAAGCTGGCATTGTTCACTTGTTGAATATATAAATGCCTTCAAGCAGTCAGTATTCAGTCCAGCGCTGATGATGCTGCGGCCTGTACAGTGAAACGCGTTGGCATTAAACGGTTTATCATCTGCTGCTTTTAGTGCCCCGAACCATGAATCGTTCAAACAACCATGTATAACAAACGAATTCGAATGATTCACTTTGAAAAGCATTCACTCTTGAGGTTATTCCATGCCAACAATACGAAACTTCTTTAGAAGTTTATTATCTTGGCTTGAGGATGAAAAGGAAGAAACTGCAGTAGAAACTATTCACCTACGATTTCGCGCGAGTGCTCGGTCATATCCTGAGTTCTTAGCTCTCAGCAAACATGATACACAACGGAATTTGTTCACAGACGAACGACAGGTCATGATGCCATTTCAGTGATCTTCATGATGTCATAGGTAGAAAAACAAACTCATGACTCCATTTTACCAGAGACATATACTATGCCAGCTTCAAGCAGAACTATCTCTTCTCATTACATTCCAAAGTCACTGCGACCAGCAGAATGGCGCACTAGGAACATGTCACTCGACTGTACTGTTTACTGACCAGCAAATAACCAGCAAACCATCAGTGTGTTTTTCGCTTTGTCGTTGTCAGGGGTGCTTAACACCCCAGCATCCTAAACAGCTTTCTTTCATATTTTGGTAAATTTTCATCTGATTCGTCGTTACTTCTTCTTATTTCAAAAGTGTTCCCTTAAGCAGGGATCCGCTATTCGAGTCAATCGCCTCCAAATTTCTGTCCTTGATCAAATTTCACCTCTCCTGGCAGTTTCATATCGTTTTTTTTTCAGACATCG